CCATGAAGAAATTTTTCCTAATATCCAATCTAAACTTCCCCTGACACAACTTGAGGCCATTTCCTCTCATCCTAAAGGAAGCTGCAGGCAAGAGCAGATGGCCTGAGCTGTGCACAGACGGCTCGCACAGCCCCGGCCAGGCACGTTCTCCCAGCCCAGAGCAGCAGCCGTACGCTCTCCCAGTGCCTTCTCCTCTCTCTCACGGGACGGGGCTGCTGCCGCCCGCAGATCTTGAGCATGGGGGAGAAGAGCAAAACCCTTGGGAAAGCACTCGCTGACTGAGACGCGAGAGCACCTACGGAGGGGAGAGGGGAACTGGGGCTGCTGACGGTCCTTGCGTGCGGGGCAGGCCGTCTGTCAGCAGATGCAGGGTCGTGTGTGAAGATGCTTCCTTCTCCAGCCTTCCCTCTCCCTGGCATGGAAGACCCTCCAGCAGGTGGGCAGACGGACAGACAGGCACACCTCCCAACACCGTGGTATCACCGCAGACCAAGCTCCTGCAGCACCCCAGAACTCTTCAAAGACTCGAAGGCTGCAAGGCCCAGGCACAGCCGCTGCTCTCGCTTCCTCCTCTGCCTGCGTTTACCTCCTCGGCTCTCCTCTCCAGCAAAAAAGCTGGAGAAACACTGAGGCCCTGCTGCCCACGGAGCTCTTTCCCAGCACTCCTGAAAGCCAGTCGAAGCACTCGACCGCATACTTCTGTGCTGGGGTTTCTGGTGAGAAAGGCACCGGCCCGTGAAAGGCCCAGCCCAGCCAGAAACGGCTCCGTTTTGGCACGGGTAGATGATGTTCATGTGCAGGACGCGGGACGTGTCCCAGCTCCAGAGGACAAGCGTGCGGCAGGAGACCCAATGGCCGCTGTGCAGAGAGGAGCAGGGAATAGCAGGGGGCCACCCGCACAGCCCTGCACTCGCCCTTAGGGAAAAAAGTGCAGGAAAATCGGCATGGGAAGACAGGGACAGCCTGAGCGCAGCAGCTGAGCACGTGGCCTGGGGAGATGGGGTGAAGGGGTTCCTTCACGGGGCTGACCCTGCCGCTGAACGGGGAGTTCCCATCCCAGCCCTGCTACGTGCAGGCACCTGCGGAGCCAGAGCAGGTCAGGGCGCGAGAGCAGAAGGGCAAGGCACAGAAAAAGAGCAAAGACCACATTTACCTCACAAAAGGGGCCCAAAGTGCGCCAGACCTGGGGAGAAAGAAAGGAGGGAATGGAGAGAGAAGGGGAATCGCAGAGTCACGGGGGAGAGGGGAGACAGGAGGGGAGAGAGGCAAAATCAAACAGCCATGCCTACACGAGAGCACCGGGCAGGGGTCCCACGGGAGCGAGGGGACGTGCAGCCAAACAGGCAGATACACGGATGAGCCAAAGGCCCGGCAGCACCGCCGGCGATCACAGCTCCGGGACGGGGGCAGAGCCAGCCCTGCCGGGGAGCATGCCGCGTGTTTGGAGCCCGGCTCACCGGGAGCAGGGACAACAAAGCGTCCAGAGAGCAGAGACGGGCTCCCGGGCCGTTCCCACCGCTGCTGCCCTGCTGCGAGCGGGGAGCAAGAGGTAAGAAAGGAACCTCCTCTGCCCCGCGCAGGCTGCAGCAGCAAAACCAGCCCCGTCCCTCCACGGGAAGGGGCCCCTCCAGGCACCGAGCACAGCAAAACTGCGCTGGCTTCCTCCTCTCAGCTGGACTCAAATCTCAGGCTTAAACAGCAAGGCAAAGCAAGCCAAGCGAGCTTTTGCGTTGTTTGCGTGAGGGCATCTGTCCGAACAGGCTCAGACTGGCGCGAACGCCTGCCCACAGCCCTGGGCATGAGCTCGGCTGCAAGGCCAAGGGTGAGCAGGGACCGGGGCAGCAGAGCCAGGACGAGCCCCGCGGCTGAGCCGTGAGACGGCGGCGTTGCCTTCCTGCCAGGCCTGGTACAGGGTGAGCCGAGCCGCCTGCATCTGCGGGAGAGGGAGCTCGCTGCACGCTCCCAAGCGAAGCTGCCAGCCAGCTCCCACAAGCAGGCAGCGCAGAGGGAAACAGCCCTCTGCGTGTTTGGGTGCTGGTCAGGGCAACAGCCCAGCAAAACCCACAGAGGTCTGGTACTATTGCTCATACACCCCGTGGTCCTTTATAATCTTCTTCCCATTTAGCTCCGAGAGCATCCCTGCTCCTGCAAAGAGGGCTGGAAATCACCCAGCTCAGGAGGATACGGCCACAGGTACAAATTCCTCTGTGGCATCGGGTTTGTGCCAGCGCCTGCTTTCACCTCTGCCGAAGCGAGATCCCCCCAGTCACCCCCCAGCCGAGGGAGAGCTCTGTCCACAGAAGAACATGTGGGAAGGGGCTTTCTGAGCAGAGCCCCTGGGAGCTGGCATTGTCTCTTGGTCAGCCCCACGCTTTGGGAAGCAGAGGACAGCAGCTCTTGGGGAGCCAGGGCAAAGCTCCACGGGTGACACGGACCTTCTGCGCACAGAGAACGGCTCCCCAGAACGACCGGGCCCTGCCGAGGTGAGAGAGACCGTACTGCTCTGGGCAGAGGCCCCATTTGAGCAAAACCAACCAACTCTGGCCATGGCACATCTCCTCTCCCCACCCTCCCACCTTCCCTATCCCCTCACCAGCTCGTGCTGCTCCTGCATCTGGGTGATCTTCTTGCCGTACTTCTGGTCCACTTGTTTCAGCTCCGCTACCACAGCCTCACACTTCTCACTCAGCAGCTTCTTGTCATCAATGAGCTGGGCAGGGTGAAGAAAAGGCATCAGACAGCCAGGCAGGGTGCAGCAACCTCCGCTTCTGGCTTCAGAAGCATCAGTCTGAGTTGGGATGAGAGATTACCTGGTCGATGAAGGCCAGATGCCTCTGGATAGCTGCCTCATACTGTTCCCTCTGCAGCCTGAGCTGGTGGCCGAGCTCCTTCTCAGTCTGTTCGACGTGCCGGACAGTCAGTTCCCTCTGCTGAGCCTTTTGGATGTAGGAAAGAAATAGCCACAAGACATTAGAGGAAGAAGTTACACCAGCCCCAGCACGTGTACAGGAGATAACTACCGAACCTGGAAGGCGCTGCCAGGACAGAGCTAAATCAAATTCCCTGGTACTCACACCTCCTGCCCCGCCGTCAGCAAGAAGACCCAAACCCCCGTGGGACAGAAGAGAAGAGAGTTCAGCCCAGGGCCTGACCGAGGGCTTCTGGACTAGCCAGGCACCTGCCAGGGAGGGGAGTTTGAGGACGCCTTTCAAATCGGGGAGCAGCATGGAGAAACCTGAGCGAAGCCACACCAGACTGGGAAGATCCTTGCAGGTCTTGCCCATGCCCACAGCCCTCCGGCTCCTCAGCACTAGCTCCGGGAATGCTGCAGTGCTTTGCCAGGGACACAGATGGGAAGCCCTATTCACAGAGCCCTAATTTTGTGCTTCAAAGCCACTGCCGCAAGAAACATCTGCTGAGGGCTCTTGGTCTTCATTCCCCAGCAAGCGAGAGCATCTGGCTCACACACCAGGGCTGTCTGCAGCAGGCTGATGGCTCGCTTCTTCTCCTCTACTTCCAGCTTCAGCCTCATTAGGGAGCTCGTGACCTCTGTGGCAACAGCCGACGCCTGCTCCAAGTGAGCCAGCTCCTCTTCTGAGAGGAGACCCTGCCACAATGAAAAAAAAAACCCAATTAAAAGATGGTAGGGACCATCTGAAAGAAGGATGAGGGACAAAGACCCTTCCCACCATGTTCTCGCACCACCTCTCCAGTACAGATGGGCTCTCGCTTCAGCTCTCACCTCCCGCTGCGTGGCCGAGGCGGCCGACCTGGGCCGCTCCTGTTCCGACTTCTCCATCTCATCCAGGAAACTGATGATGCTTTGGAGCTTGGCCTCCGAGAGCAGCGCCCCGTCCTCAGGGATCCCTGGGGAGTGGTTCAGCTTCCCAAACTTCTCCAAGTTATCAGCAGTCAGGGAATTGGAGCTGGGCTCCTGCGGGGCAGACACAGCTGTGAATGAGCACCCAGGGGAAGGCTCAGGAGAACAGGTGGTGGCTCTTCTCCATCACTGGAGCCCAGTCCTTCCACTGCACCCCAATAACCAGCCTTATCCTCCATGCTAACCCTGCTCCCGCCACAGCCCCTGCATGGTTTTGCTCCTCCTTGCAGATGTCCAAGCCCTGGCTGCACCAAGCCCCCTCCAGCTGCCTCCAAGCCCGCTCCAGCTGCCTTCTCTGGCAGTGAACCAGCTACATTTCTCACCCTCCACCACCCAGCAAGCACTGGGAGAAGGCCACCCGTAGGGGAACCCGCTCTCCCCAGGCAGCCATCGCTGTGTGGGGATGGATGCGACCAGCCTCGGCCCTCTGCCTACCCCATCTATCCAGGCGTATCTGTCCTTCTTGAAGGCCTTCGGTGGGGGCAGCAGCTCTGGCTCTTCCTCCAACAGCCTGAGCGTGTCCAGCAGCTCACTGAGCGTGACCTTGGACTGAGCCCTGCTGACAGCAGTCACCACCGTCTCCTGATCCTCGCCGCCTGTCTCTCTGGAGCTCACATCCTAGGGGACAAGACAACGCACCTTGCAGTAAAAGAGTTTGGAGGATCTCCCCAGAAGTCAATGAAGGCTCCAAAGCCGCCCCGGCAGGACAGCTGATCCCAGAAGCCCCACGAGGCAAAGCCAGACCCACCTGCAGCTTGTCCTCTGCCCCAGGGTCCCGCGAGGGCACGGAGACAAGGTCTGCGAGGCCGCTTTCTTCTGGCTCTGCAGCTACCGAGTGGAAATTGGCCTCTGCAAGAACCAGACTGTTCTCAGGCACTGCCAACAACCGGCCCCTTCAAAGCAGCTCCCCAGAGTGAGAACCACCCCTCTGTCATCCTCACGTCAGACGCTGCTCCAAAAGCATCAGACACCCGCGGAAGGGACTCACCAGCGTTATTGGCTTTGGTGACGCTGCTGGCCGGACTGACATTCCTTGCAGAAGCAGGCTTAGCAGGCTTCTTCTTTGCTACCCTTCTGCTCTCCTTCACCAGCGCAAGCTCTTCTTCTGCCAAGCGCTTTGCATCTGAAGCCTTTTGGGCCCTTTTCTGGTGCAGTTCCTGTAGGGACAGACAAGCCATCAGCATCCTGCCCAGCACAGGGTGTGTTCTGACACGTCCCTGCACTGCTTCGAGTGCTAGCAAGGGCCTGGGAGACAGCAACAACCCGCACGCTTGCTGCTGAAGGGTTAGCGAGGACAGCTCTAGGGAAAGGGAAAGCACAGGAACAACAGCTCTACCCTTCACTGCTCTGAGCAGAGGGAAGGTGGTAGCCAGGGTCTTGCCAGCTCCACGTGTGAACAAGCCTGTTCACATGCCCCTGCGCAGTGTCCTTTGCTGCCCTGTAAAGAGCTACCGAATCCTGAGGGCCGAGCACCGCGCAGCGTGGCAACGCCGCAGTGCCCAGGGGGCTGCCTTAGCCAAGTTTTGGGAAATCACAAGCACGTGTTTGCAAGGCTGTTGCACCATTTTGCTGTCCTCTGGCTGCTCACTGCTGTGCCTCTCCCGACCCACCCCACACACACCGAAATATGATTCCTTTTAGGGCAAAGATAAAAAAAAAAAAAAAAAAAAATCTTCAGCTATACTGCAAGCCAACACGCAACTCCCCGTAGTCTGTGCCAGCCCCTCATCTGTGCCCCAGGAGCACCAGCCCTTTCCTGCTGCAAAAGAGGGCTGCAAGAACAGGGTGAAGACGGCGAGGTGCTTCCCGCCAGCAGGCACAGAGCAGTGCTCAGCCCACCCTGGAGGGACCCCGCTCCCAAGGAGGGTCCCCTTCCCGGGATGCCCTCATTCTCAGAGCTGCAGTTACAGGCTCCCTGTTTCAACATGGTCACCCTTTCCCCGAGAACTAGATCGAAACCAGCACTGTCTTCGCAAGCTCCAAACGTTGGCAGGAGCACAGCGGGAAACCGCTCTATGGCACCTCCGTCTCCGTAGGGAGCGCTCCATTTCCAAGGCTGGCTCTAATTCTACTTCTTGCAAAGCCCTGAGAGATGCGGAGGAGAGGCCCTCTCGCTGCCTCACAAGACAACGCCAACGAAGTGGCCTCACGCAGGCCTTGCCTTGTCCCTACCTGGATGGCAGCACGTCGGGCCAGGCGCGCCTTCTCCTCTCGGATCTTCCGGCGTTCCTCATCCTTCCTCCCATGCAAATCCAGGATATTCCCTTCCTCCATCCGCTGCTGCCTTTCCTTCCAGAGAGGAGGGTCAGAAATGTTACCGAGAGCTCTCCAGCACCCACCACCCACAGCAGAGAAGGGCACGCTGCACCCGAGGTCACCCCGTACCCCGGCTTTCCATCCCCCCAGTCCTCCCCTCCGTGCAGGTACAGAGCCCTCAGAAAAGCTCCACTTCAGAGCAGCTTATTTTCTTTAGATATTAAACGTAATTATTAGTCATGTGGGCTTGAAACCACCGAGGAGACGAGGCTTAAAAATAGACTCTCACATGCAAGAGCTACAGTACCCTTCGTTATTGGGATAAATAATTAAACACAAAGAAACACAAATAGCTGCGGATGACTCGTCGCTCTCTAATGAGCCAACTTGTTACTGATTCGCTACGATGAACCGAGACAGGGTATCCCTCCTCTGGCCACGAGCGTGTCCGAGTAGGATTTGTGCTGCTACTGCCAAGCATCTGCCTGCTCGCAGCTGAAGGGAACTGCTGGACCGGAGCTGTGCAGCGCTGAGCCCCGGGGCTCCCGGACTGAACTCCCCCTGAAACCAAACCCAGGCTTTTCCCCTGCATCTCTGCGGGGACGGGACCCTCCCTCAGCTCTCTGCAAGGGGCTGGCCAGATGGAAAGCCAAAACCCCCTTGTCTCTGACAGCTCAGGTCTTGGTTTGAGGGTCTGGTGACCAAAGGGACTCAAATTCCCCCGCCAGCAAGGCAAGCGGGACACGGGTGTCCGAAGGGTCTGCGCTACAAGGCAGCGACAGGACTGACCTCCCTTTTGGAAGCCAGCAAGCGCCCCAGAGCCGCAGCTCCTGCCCGGTGCCGTTGCGAGTGGCGTCGGTACCAGCGCTGGATGGTCACAGCGGCCAAGTTCACTTGCTGGATGAACCTGCGGGGACAGGGAGGGTCAGCGCGGCCCTGGAGTCTTCCTCGGCCGCTGGCCGGGCGGCACCACCCCATCTTGCTGCAGCAGAGCGCAGGCTGCTCGCCCATGGCACCAGGACTTGTTTCAGTCCCCTCACGCCCCGACTCAATGAGGCCTTTTCCTGGGCTGACATTTGGGCTGGGAGGAACTCGTGCCTTTGACGAGGACAACTCAAAGCGCAGAGCCGAGTCACGGGGAGGGTAAACCAGCCACTGTGGGTGCACTAAGAGGGGCCCTTCCCGAATCTGGAGCCCCACAGGATGAGAACAAACCGGTACCAGCTTTCAGTCCCCTCACGCCCCGACTCAATGAGGCCTTTTCCTGGGCTGACATTTGGGCTGGGAGGAACTCGTGCCTTTGACGAGGACAACTCAAAGCGCAGAGCCGAGTCACGGGGAGGGTAAACCAGCCACTGTGGGTGCACTAAGAGGGGCCCTTCCCGAATCTGGAGCCCCACAGGATGAGAACAAACCGGTACCAGCTCCCCTGAAGCCCACCCCTCCGCCGGGCACCGTCCTCCTGCCTCTTCCCATGAACCTTCACGCACCGGCTCTGCCTCACCTCTCCGCCTCCTCCTCCGTCACCTCCTTCCTCCGGGACAGGCTGCTGTTGTTGTTGCGGGTCATGATGTTGTTGCTGGAGAAGTTCTTCTGAGACTTCACGAAGCTGCTGCTTTCGCCATCCTCGTTTGAGGTGGCTTTGACAACGTTGCTAAGGCAGAAGATGAAGCTACTTGGCACCATCCTGACCCATCGCGTGCCACATCAGCACACAAACACGGGGTCAGCACAGCCTCCAAGCCAGGACCTCAGCACACTTACTTGAGGGAGCTGGGTGCCTGGTTGGAGCTTTTGGGTGCAGGGCCCTTGTCAGCGGTGGAGTAGTTGTTGTGCACCATGGTGGTGACACAGTTGCCCATCGCGCCCTTGTTGCTCCTTTTGCGGAGAGAAGACAAGGCATTACA